CCCCCGCCGGGCCGCGGCGCAGGTAGGAGGAAATTTAAGCGAGTCCAGTCTCCTAGGTGCTTGGGGTCTGGAGCGGGGGTGGGCAGTAAGGCGCACGTAGGAATGAAGGGGTGAGGGGAGGTAGTGCAAATCTAATGCAAGGGGAGAGACGGAGGCCCCTCTTAGATTGCCCAGGCTTGTTCCTCATCTCACTCCACCCCACCTCCAAACCTGAAAACGTGTGTTTGAGGCTGTGTATGGTGTGCGGTTTTGTTGAAAGTGTATCTAGGACTAAGGCTGGTTTGTGTCTTCACCACCTAGCCGAGAATAAGACTCCTGCTAACTAAAGAGGACTAAACGGTGGGGGGACATGGAAAAAGGAGTGATGGCTTTCAAAATAAAATGTGCAGCTGGAGAATACGGAGCCTGCTGTTGCTTCAAATTTTTAGTCTTAAATCCGTCTACCTACCTACCTACGTACTATTCGTGATTTTCTCTCTTTCTTTCTCTGAACACAACATATACATGTGGTAAACAATTTTTAAGTCAGATGGTACAAAAGGGTTTACTATAAATGTCTGCCTTCTACTTCTATTTCCTCAAGTTCTCTAATTACCCTCTGCAGAGTCTATACTACTTAACCACTTTCTGTTGTTTAGGCTTAATTTATCTTGAAACATACATAGCTGCATCTTCTTTTGAATGGCTGCTCTATTATTACATTGACTGTATTAACTAGAATTTATTTAACCAGTCCGCTTTGTGATAGGCATTTATTTAGGTTGTTACCCTTTGGCCTTTAATTACTCCTTTATAGCAGAGCCCTAGTGTCAGGTAATGGAATAACCTGCTTGTAGAATCTAGTACATCCCATAAGCACTGTGCATCCTGTCTTGCTTTAAAATTGAAATAGGAAGGTATTTCGTGATGTGTGAGAGGAAGGTGAAAACATCTTCCAGGATATTTTTAACGTGAGTCCTCTCAGTCTAATGAGGAATCAGGAAAAAAAAAGCATGCAAGTCCCTACACCAAAGAGAAACCATCCAGAATCCTCTCTGATAACATAGGCTTTGGGGAATAGAGTGAAACTTCATTTGGGGTCTTTTTTAGGAGAGGCAGATGTCTTCATGCACAGCTAAATGGAAGTTTCAGTGTCTTTTTCCTGAAAATCAATGAGGCTCAAATCCTTTAAGCATGCATTACATCTTTTTAAAGAGGCTGGGAATTATTTCACCAAGACCATGGCCACAGAATATTTAGAATAGTCCTGAAAAGGATATCAGTGGGACAATTGGTAAAATTTGAACAAGATCTGTAGATTACATAATAAATATTGTATCCATGTTAATTTCCCGATCTTGAGAATTGTACTGTGATTATGTAAGAAAATATCTTTGTTTTTAGGAAATGCATGTTGAAGTAGCTAGAGATAAAAGGTGTCATATGTACAACTTACCCCCAAATGTTTTAGAAAAAAACAGAGATAGAGTTAGAGAGAGGAAAAGAGGGAATATTAAAGCAAACAGGGCAACATTTGGGAAACTGGGGTGAAAGGTATATGGGAATTTTTAATACTATTTTGGATTTTTCTGAAATCTGATATTATTTTAAAACAAACAGAAAAGAATGTTCTTGGCACAAGAGAGTCTGTATAAAACCTCTGGAAAGAAGTGGGTACAGACAAAGAAGATGTTAAGGGAAGGCTGGCCCTTCCTTGGGTGCTGATCTGGGGGAAATTCCTTAGCTATTTTTGAAATTATATAAGGGTTCCAACTGCTGTTTAAAATACACTGATTGCCAATAGTACTTAGAAATTGGCACCTTCCAAGAGCATCTACATTCCAGTGTTTCAGCAATTTCCCTTTTGTCTTGCTCTCTTGTAAAGCACAGGGTTAAAAATGTTAATGTCATCTTGTGGCTTCTCAGATAGGACTTGGGCTGAGTTTATTACTCATCAAGAAAAGTCTTTTCATTATTGTGAATTGACCCACAGCCAGTTCCTATATTCAGACTGACCTTTCTTCGTTCTCATTATTTTACAAACTTTTTATTATTTTGCCTCTCATATTTAGATCTCCATGTACCAGGGGAAAAGAAATAAAAGCTTTTGGAAGGAGCATTTCCAAGGAATTATTTCAAAGCAGGATGACAGAGGAAAACCAATATTTTCCTTAGGAACCGGAGCTTAGAATAAACCTGGCATGAGTTAAGGGTACAGTCACACTTTTTACCACATTGCCACTTCGTTGTCCTGAGAATTTTTTATGGAAGTGACCATCCTTTCTCGCCTACTGTGTAGTGTCACTGAAAAAAAAAAAACAACCCTAGAGTTCATATGCGCATAGGTATGTTTCTAGACTCTTCCAGAATACTGATCTATTCTGTCTCATTGGTCTATTTGTTTATCCTTGGAGCAGTACCACACTTTCTCTACACCATAGCTTTTTAATAAGTCTTGATATCTGGTGAAAAAGGTCTTCCCATCCTGTTTTTCTTCTGGAGGGCATTGGTTATTCTTGGCCTTTGCATTTTCATATAAATTTTACAATCAGTTGCTAATTGCCATGTGACAAATCTGTTAGGATTTTGAGAAGAGTTGCATTAAATCTATGGATCCATTTGGGAGCAGCTGACATCTTTACAATATTGGGCAGACTTAGCTTTTTAATTACTGATAATGTTTTGGATGTAATCTTATCTCAAGTAGTATAAAATACTATTACCCTAGGAAAAGAAGCCATGGGGAAGAGCATTTGTCAGGAATGCTCTCAAAGAAAAATTAAGGAGGAAAACAAATCTCCTTTAGGAAGCAGGGTCCAGAAAAAAGCATGGTTTTGTACATGGCTCCTGAAATAGATTATCCATGAGGGTCCAGCCAGGAAAATGAAACCACTATAAGGAATTTAATAAAGGAAATAATACACAGGGATTAGAAAACCTGAAAGAGCAAATGGGGGAACAAGAGGAAGCGCAGAGATTAGTAAATGCAGGCAGCTGCTACACCCCTAAGGGAATGGAAGGATAAAGAAATGTTGTGTCCTCACTGGAGCCCAGAAGCTTGAGCCACTTGGTAAGAGTGGGAAATTCCGCAGGCTAGGAAGGTGGAATTTGGGGCCATGGAGGAGGGGTTGTCTGGTAAGAGCCAGAAACACAGAAGAGAAGCAGCCACTGCTGCCAATGCAGCATCCTCTTCCCAAGGAGATAAAGGGGGAGAACTCTCTTGGCTTCTCTTTTTTTTTTTTTTTAAAGATTTTTTAATTTATTTGTCAGAGAGAGACACAGCGAGAGAGGGAACACAAGCAGGGGGAGTGGGAGAGGGAGAAGCAGCTTCCCGCCGAGCAGGGAGCCCGATGCGGGGCTCGATCCCAGGACCCTGGGATCATGACCTGAGCCGAAGGCAGACGCCCAACGACTGAGCCACGCAGGCGCCCCTTGGCTTCTCTTTTCTTTCAGTGCCTGTGCCTCTTATTGGCTGAACATACCTGGGTATACTGACAGGGAAGACTGAGCAATATGGTTTGCAAGGAACAGTCCCTCCAATGATACAGAACAGAGCAAAGAACCAGAAAGCAAACAGACATACAAATGGCATATAGGTCAAACTAACCCACCTAGCAATACAGGTACTGAATTGAGGTTTTCTCTCAAAACTCATTAATTAATTTCATTTGCATAAATAAATGCTTACTACGTGTCAAGCACTGTGGTACATGCATATTTGCCTACAACAGATTACGTGGTCAATCCCAAAATCAATGGCGAAAGGAAATATACTCCATCTACTCTAGCAGAGTTCATCAGCCAGCCAGGAAGGGAAGGTGGGAGCGTGGGGTAGACTCCAGGTCTGCAGAGGAGGGTGAGAAAACAGGGCATGTCAGGAAAATGGCAATACCATGGAAACTGCTGCCCTGCAAAATCTACAGAATGCTGAGATTTCCCCCCAGATTCCCAGATCCCTCTGAGGTGTGTGTTCCACAGAGGCTCTGAAAGTTTCCCAGTGGGACTAAGCTTTAGTGATCCACAATGGAACGTTCCTGATAGCAAGCTCTTTGGGGCTGCCTTTCCTTCCCTGTTTTACTTCTCCACTCCTTGTCTCTGTTTCTTACAATTATCTCCAAAATAAATTATTTCCAGTCAGATTTTTTGTCTCAGGGTCAGCTTCTGGAGGAAATTGAATGATGACACATATATTCACAAACCTATTACAGGCTGTTAAGTAGAAATTTTCATATGTCCGACTTTTGGCTGAAGCCTCAGAACTAGAGAACATGGGTTTTAAGTGCCCACACGTTCCAAAGAGAGGAGTCAGGCACATCTCTCCAAGACTCACTAACCCAGGCACAGTGAATTGGCACAGGGGCTGTCAGAACTAGAAATGTAAAGGGGACTGGTTGGAAAAAGAATCTATTTGATAGGGAGCCCTGCACTGTTTCATGATGGTGCTTCCTACCTCAGCCAAGTGAGAGACCCCTTGAGAACAGTTCACAAAAAGTGGGTTTGTTTGCAGGATGGGAGACTGACATCTCATTTCCTGGCTGGATGCTTGCTGAGCTGCAAACACCCAAAGACTTCCTATAATGCTGCTAGAGGAGAGTGGGAAGGAGACCATAGGGCAATTTTATTTGAGAGTTCAAGAGTTAAATGAAGATTGAGGCAGTGGGAAGTCGGCTGAAGGAGCTTGCAAACTGGGGAGAAGGACAGTGGCTGGAGCATCTGTGTATCTAGAGATCTGCCCTGGGCCAAGTGGACTGCATGGAGTGTTACTGGTCTTGAGTCACCAAAAAAAGGCCCCTGCTTGGAGGGGAAGAATGAAGGGGGGGAAATCAGAGGAGGAGATGAACCATGAGAGACGATGGACTCTGAAAAACAAACTGAGGGTTCTAGAGG